ATTGGCTCTTGTGGACTTGTTTTAATTATCTTCAGTTTCAACTTGAATTTGCATATGAACAATTAAAGGTCCCACTGTTGACTCCTGGCCTTGTTCTGACTAATATTACTTAGCTTCTCCATTGTCTCTTTCACAGATGTAGCCAATTTGATTCCTGTGTATTCCATCTGTTAAGTCCACGTATACAGTGACCATTTATGTTACTGACAAAAAGTACTTGCAATGAATAAATCTTTGGTCTTGCAAAATTCTATCATGTGATCTCTGGCATTGTTTCTATCACCAAGGCCCTACTTTCCAACTACCGATCCTTCTTCGTTTCTAACTTTTAAATCCAATCACCAGTAATTATCAATGCATCCTGATTATGTGTTTGGTCAATATCAGATTGCAGAAGTTGGTGAAAAACTTCAGTATCTTCACTTTTGGTATTAGTGGTTGGTGTGCAAATTTGAATAACAGTTGTATTAACTCGTCTTCCTTCTAGGCATGTGGATATTATTCTATCACTGATAGTGTTGTACTTCAGAATAGATCTTGAAATTGCTATTTGAAATTGTCTTCAACTATAATTCCTGGCCTAGGAGACCATATGCCTGTTTGATTAAAAATGGTCAATATCATACATTTCAGTTTACTAATGCCTAGGATATCAATCTTTATGTGGTCCATTTCAGTTTTGATGACTTCCAATTTTCCTAGAGTCATACTTTGTATATTCCATGTTTTGATCATTAATAGATGTTTGCAGCTATTTGCACTCTCATTTTGAGTCATGCCATATCAACAAATGAAAGTACCAAAAGCTTTACTCCATACACATCATTATGGTTGACTCTATTTTGAGGAAGCAGTTCTTCTCCAGTTGCACCTTGAGTGCCTTACAACACTATACCTAACAATGTTCCATTGCCATTTGTGATAGTTGGAGCTGTGTGTCAACTTGGCTGGACCCCAGTTCTGGGTGGTTGTTCCCATGATGGGATCAGATGACTGAGTTCTGAGTGGCCAGTCTTCCCAAGGGGAGTTTCCCTAGGGGTGTGGCCTGCTTGCAATGATATTCCAAGGACAATCTGGAAGAACGGCATTCCGAACTACAGACTTCCTTGAGTGAGCGGCTCATCGCTCGGCCTGGAGATCTCGGATTCATCTTTTATTGGAAACAACAACCAATATACTGCATGCCAGCTTGAATCTCT